CTGCAGGTTTCCCCAATCTCATGAGGTCAAGTTGACTACACAGCCCATTGTTCCTTCAGTGGGCTGGTTTCAGTCATTATGCAAATGTACTGTTCATAAGATTGGGGAAACCTGCAGTCAGCTGAGACTGAAGAAGTCACTTGGATGAGTGACGAAACGTTTCTCCCAGAAAACGCTACGTCCAGATGAACAGAATCAACTTTTGGAGATTTATTTTCCTGGATGATTGAGAATGCATCAAGAAGTTTTTAAAGAATTTTCATCTCATAATCCTGTAGTAAACATCACTTTAGTTTCTGTTCTTGAAGTGTAATTCTGTATCACAGAACCATAACTGACTATGAAAACTACAATCATTAAAATAATTGGCCCAAACTAAAAATGCTGTTTGTGCCACACGGGTTAATTAAAACTGTATGAACAATGTAACTGTAGCTCCTTCCTTTAACAAGTAAGCAAACCTAATTTAATTTTAATTACTAAGAGGCACTGTTGGTGTCATAGCTGTCACTTAAATGAATATTTGATTGAACTCTTACAGATAACACACATGGACCAGACTTTGAATCGCATTGTGGAGTCCCTCGCATATCTGCTGGAACAGAAGGATGCTGGTGGTGACGGTGGGGGCGGGTCAAGGCTCGGACCGACCTGTAATGTCCTCCCCAGCCAGGACAGCCTGCCAAGCTATGACCAGCTATCTTCACCCTCTTTGTGTGCCTCCTCCAACACCGCCAGCACAGTGGTCTGCCCCAACCCGCCCCCGAGCACCACTGGCAGTCAGGATGAGAGCTGATGAAACCAATAAGCAAACACCAAGTTTTTCTTCTTTTAGTATAATATAAGATATTTAGGATGACTGTCCCAGCAGACCACGGGGAATATGGACATCTGTGAGAGAAAAACAATAATTCAACACTGCAATATCTCTTAACAGTTACATTGCTATTAGATTTTTGTAATTGCCAGGTTTGAGTATTGTAAACATTTATTTAGGTTAATGCCAAAAACCCTGCAACTTCAACCTCCATTCTTCCTGTTTAGCATATGCATATGTTGAAATTATAATAATTTGCAGTAACTTTATTACTCTTAGGGGCCTTACATTTCTATATATCACTTGAAAATCCCAAATGAAATGCTGTTTTCACTGTTTTCCACTGTTTCACTTCTTTGTTAATGTGAAGATTTCCTTTCTCTTTTGACAATAAAATAATGCAGTAATCATAATCATGCCTGTGTGATGTGAAGCAAATAACTTTCAATGGTTCATGTTTTTATGAACCAATCCTGTTACAGTCTGAGTTACTTTTTTTCTCAAGCATTATC